TTGTGTAGCTTTGCTCTTGTGGATCGTACTGGCCGGCACATGAATTATACAGTTGTGCGGATGGTCGTAACTAGTTTACCAATGTCACATGCATGATACAACATCAAATTTCTTCAGTTTCCTTTGGCTGCAAAACCACCAGTGCATGCTGTGCTGTCCATCAAGCATGCCAGGCTTCTCCTTCTTTGCTCATGTTTTAGCCAATCGGTAGCTCCCGCAAAGCAGTAGGGCATGTTCGACAACACCATGGCGAACTGCTAGTCTCCTCAGGAAATACGCTGATGACCAGGTTGGGCTCTAAGGGGACTACAGCGCAGGCACAACGTAAACTTGGTCACCAAATTCGGCAAATATTTCATCCTCATACTCCCCAGCTTATGTCTGGCGGGCCGTGGCCAACTACGAACATCAGCCACAAGTAGAAAAGAGCATTTTTTAAGCAAACAACTATGGCAGGTGATATCAATCTATGTTATCGCAGCTATTTTGTTGCCACCGCAATCATTATGATGGGGCCATCTATTTTCAAAATGCCATCGCATCTAGCATCGAAAAATAATGTTCTTTGCTTGTTAATTTGGCATTTGGCCGGTCGCAAACTGTGGCTAACACGTCTCCACGCCTGCCATGCGATGGAGCAATTAACGCTGGTGGCGCTGTCAGCGTTGGTTGCTCCATCGCTGTCATTTTTGGCAATGGCGGGACAAAGTGTGCTGCCGGTCGCAAATGTATGCATGCCCGCCGCTCACACCAATAAGTACAGAGTATGTCAGCGATATCACATGATGCTGCTACATCGATACAGGGAGCCGCTTCCTGGGCCGAGTGCCTACTCTGCGCGCGACTCAGTCGCCTACCAACAATTGAATTTTTTTGTATCCAAGGATGCGCAAATTGTCGTTCTGTTCTTGAAAGTGTTTCTTGGGTGAGATGGAAGGATTGTTACGAAAGTTTGTTTGACTCTTGGGGCACAACCTTTGGTATCACCGCCCGTCGGAGAGGGCAGCTGCGGTCTGGGATACAGGCTGTATCGTGCAGCTTTGACAAACTTCCTCTGTGATGGCAGCAGTATATTGTGCGGACGCGTGGGATTCCAAGCCATCCGGCCCCGCTAGCCATGTTGGCTGTCGGGGTGGTCGCAACTGTGATTGTGTCTGTTTCTCTCCAGAATGTTGCCAGCTTGCTCTAGCGCCGTTTCAAAACCGTAGGGCTTGTGAGGCCAAAGTTATTGTGTGCGCAGAGCAACAGATTCGGCCTGCGAGTGGCTGCCAGCAACTCATGGAACCCCACGGGGCGCCTGCACATGTGACAACAACCGATTGACGTCCACCTCCTGAGGAATCTCTGCAGCCATCCCCGGGGATGCTTCCCCATCCACAGGTATTCAGCTGCGCCTTGTGTCCCCTGTAGAGTGCATCCCGAGGCGCCTTAACTTGTACATCAGGCAGATGTGGGCGGCTAGAGCCGCGTCCGGCTCCAAAACTTTGCTCATCCAAAATTCGGTTTTCCAGCCTTTCGTCTTTACCTGGCATCCATCCATGTGGCGGCTCCTGGCGCAAAGCATTTGAACTCGACGCGGCGCATCGCCAGGTGAGCGGTCGTCTGCGGAGCCAGCGCGAAGGCGGGGGAAGCAGTGGCGAAGAGGCGGGAACGAGGCGGGGAAGATGGCCCCACCTCACTACGCAGACCGGACCCGCTGCCATGGATGACAGTGCCCGTGATGTACACCTCTCCTCTCCCTCCCCCCCTCCTATACCACCTTCGATGTGGCTGGGCGCCGGGTCTGCCCCGTCCGGGATACTGCCACAAATTCTGCCTCTTCGGCCCGTCACAGCGCATGTCCCACAGCCCGCGCGCCACAGCCCTGACCTTCCCACCATCCGCCCCGCCCACGCGTCGTCAAAGCCACCTCTCGCAACGCCTTGACCGCAGGCCCGTTCGCCGACGACCTGCCAACGTTGGCGCTGGCCGTTGACCATTGACTCGCTGGCCACATGGGCCGCTGGCTCCTGGCGAGCCCCCGGGTCTTGGTGCCATGTGCGGCTGCGCTGGCTGCCTTGGCGATGGGCTTGGGTTGGCATTGGTGGACGCCGTCGCCTCAGGGATATTTGCCCTGCTACGCCAGCCGAAGTGAGTATATAGGACCCGCACCCCACCCGCATACTTGGCATGCCCGAACGGGTCATCACGATTTCGCGCGCATGTGACGCACGGCGGGGCACGGTGCCGTCGGTGCCGGTCGGGGAACGGGGCTGTGCCCATGAGGAGACTTTGGGACTGCGCCTGGCTGTTGAGATGCATTTGGGCGTGGGAGATATCTCCAACAATGGGACGCAAAGTGGGAGGAGGGGAGGGGGCGCATGTTCCCGTTTGGGTAACCCAGCGGGCGACCTGCCGGTCTGCTTGGCGGAGGTGGTGGAAATGCCGACCGATGTTTGCGGCTCTCTGCCGCGCGAGGTGCGTGCGCCCTGTTTATAGGCTCGGGTTCCCAGAATGCGTGATTGGGGTGGATGGGGCGGAAGACATTGGATGGGTGGCCCCCAAGTCGTCCAAAAGGCGCCATTCGCGGAGCCGGCAGAGTGTTCGGGTTTGATTGTGCCTTGACCAGCGATTGCAATGGAGGGCCTCTAGCGCTAAGCCCGAGAATCAGTCTCCGTGCCGTTAAGCCTAAACTGTGATTTGCGCGTGTCCTTGGCTTTCGGCACAAATGCAGCCAGCAGGACTGTGCGGGTTGAAACACCTCCAGCTTCAACGAAATGTATGCTTCGAACATGCCAAGAGTACCAAAGCATTGGATCACCAGTCTGTGCGTGCTCTTGAATGTTTCAACTCCCCTCCATGGGCGTATCTCCATGGGGATATGCCCCGCCAGTTCTGACTTGGAACCCTGGGAGGCCGTATGAGTATCTTTGTCCACACAGGATGGGCCTGTCAATAATCTTTTAAGGAGTAGATTTCCAGGTTGTCAACATTTCTGATTGTCAGAAAAAATATCTGGCTGGACTCAGCCCTGGGGATCGTACATTCGATGCTTGGAGCATTATGAAGGAATTGTGGACGAATCCTTCCACGGTAAGCATACGATTCCACAGCTGTTGGTGTGCAACTTCTACGTAGAGTTCAATGCGCAACGCGCATTTGCCATTCTTTTTCCCAACAACTCCATCTGGGACAAAACCACGCCTTTCCAACGTAATCCCCATCCCAGTCAATACACGCAAACTTGGTCCACACCAGCTGTACACCACCTGCGCACCCACAACCCCAACCCCCTCGGACCAAACCAGAGGCTGGGGCTCAGGCAGAAGTTGGGTACCAACCCCGGACTTCTTCTCTCTGCTGCGCATCACGCGCCTCCCGCCATCCCCAGAGCCTTTCGCCGGGCAGCTGCCTGACCCGCGGCTTGGCGCCTGGGGTCCCGACGTTCGATGCCCCCCAAGCCCGGTCCTCCAGCGCCTAGGCGTCGTGCATGCGGCTCACAGCCGCTCGTCTTGCTGCTGGCCGGTGTGACCGTGGCGATCTGCGGCTGGGTGTATCTGAGGGCAGGGTGGTGGAACGCGGCCTCCGGAGAACGCAGGCCGTGCTATGTCTCCGAGGGTGAGCGCCCTGTCGATCGCGCCCTGCGACCGTGCGGTGTGCGGTGGCCCGATTGCCCTTAAGGCCTCTGGGACAAGCGGCAGCGATCCTTCCCTTTTAGCTGGTTCGGCGTGGAGAACTCCCTTTGGTCTATTGACCGCCGGAAGAGTGGCAGCGGGGTCGACGCCGTGTGGCGTTGTAGCGTCGTCGCTTCCCGTTGGCGTGGGATCGCGTGGGGTTGCGAAAGCCATTGTTGCAAGGATGGAGACAGGCGGGTAGGCAGTGAACTGACGACGGGTGGTGTGGATGGGCGCATCGAAGCGAGCGCGGTGTTTTTGCTTTGCCAATGTTCTGGAGCGTCATTTGACACGTTGACGCCTGCGGCGCAGGAGGATCCAAATGCTGGCCCAGTCTTTTGGGTGGTACCCCAGTAATTGGCACATGCTAACCCAGAAACAACTACCAGGAAAACTAGCTTTAAGCAAACATGCTGGCAGAATGACTTATTCTCCATAGTGGATCTCGTTGGGCTTGGTTTTGGGGGGAGAACGACGAAGGGACATCCCTCTGCTGCGCTGTCTGGTTGGGGTATACACTCCGAAGAAAACCCCCGCCCATCCCACCACAACAACACGGCTTGTTGTCAAATGCATCGAAAGTGGACACGTTGCTGCGTGTGCAGCAGGAACTGCTTGGCCTTCTATGCTTTTGTGGGCATTCGAACTTGACTGGACTTTGAGGTCATCCCAGTGGCCCTCTTCAGGCATGGAGAAGCCAACGTCAATGCTGACTTTCTGCACATAGTGTGCCCATGCAATCCATGTATATGCCTCGATCCAATCCAGTGCCAAAGGGCATGATATTCGTGTGATTTCTCTTGGTTTCCAATGTATGGCCTGTCATCAGAGCTGTCTGCATTTGCACACCCTCACAAAGCCACTTTGGGCATTTTTCGCCCGCTGGATGAAACTCTGTGCAAGTTTATATCATTTCTGTGACTTTGATTGCAGATCCCCAAGGACTCGCTATATCATTCACTGTAAGTTGCTCCCTGTAATGTGTATGATGTCCCCAGTTCACCATCACAATTGAATCTTTAAAGTGCTGTCCCTGGCACTGTCAAAGAACACCAGGGCGAGTTGCTCAACAGCACAGGCCCATCGTGAGAGCTTGTCTGCTTCCTTCCCTTGCACTCAATTGCTGACTCACAAACATGCACCTTTGAATGATTGTTTATGTAAAAAGAACTGTCCACCCCTCTGTACTTGCCCAGTAGCTGGTGTGATGCCATGAGATGTACTGTGCAGTGCCTGCAGGGTGGCACACACTACCTTGCATTCCAAGTGCAGTGCTAAGACCTCACTCTGTGTGCTCAGGTCACAAGGCAGTTCTGTGAGAGGAGTTTCCCCTTCATCGCAAATGTTATGAATGCAATGGTGCAGACGCATGTGTGCACAGGAATTCTGGTGAAACCAGGTCTGGTAGTTGCCCCAGCATCTTGTGTTACAAAGGGCATCAAGGATCAAGAGAAATTTCCCCTTGTCCGGTTGGGGAGCTATGATTTGAACACCCATGATGGGCCCGAGGAGCCAGAGGTGAGTTCATGTGCAGGCATGTGCACACTGTGCATTAATATGCTGCTTTGTCTGTCGTGTGCTGTCGATTGTTGGAGACAACTCATAGGCTGGGTACCATCCTCAGCTGTCAATGGGTGTACAAGTTGCTTGAAAATGAATTTTGATCGATGTATGTGGGCCACCAGCCCCAACTTTTTGTGTTTCAACACATGATAACTTGGAGCTCAAGGGAATGCAGCCACAGTTGCAGCTCAGAGTACTTCATATCGCAAAAGCGTTATCCTCCACTGTTTGGTATCAGCCAGTGCACTTGCCTTCTCCAGTGCAGTTGTTCCTGTTTGTGCTCTGTGGACAGCAACAAAAAAAGCAGCCATTCAAATTGACTGAGCTCATGAAACAAGGACATGCTGCCATGTATTGCCGCACCTCACAAGTATCTGATTGGAAACAACAACAGCAAAGCATTATGGAAGCCATCAATTCTGGATGGTGCATGCAGCCTGCAACGAGATATGGACAACGATGTTAACCACCAGATCCATTGCAATTGTTTGTTATCTTTATTATGCAAAGGCATGAAACAATACTCATACATGGCACCAGGGCATGATATTCATGGACAAAGTACAAGTGCACGATACAAGTGTGGGGTCTAAATCAAGCACTTCCTCTGTTCCAAATTAAGTGAAACAGTTTGTTTGGGAGGCCATGTTTGTACCATGTACTCACTAGTTTTCCCTGAAAACATAGTCAGAGAACTGCCCACGAATCTATTATATGGTATCAAAGTATTGTACAAAACGGATAAGTATTGGTCAAATGGTTGTACTTTGAACCCAAAGGATTTTTCCAGAAAACCCAATTTTCTCACGCGGGCAGCCCACTTCCCCCAAAGCGGCCCTTCGACCAGGTCGCTTTGCAACTGTAGGTGCACAGTGCAGAATGGATATCTGCAGCCGCCACTGTGGCTGCAGGTCGGAGGCCTTCCTCTCAAAGCGCAGAGGTCACAGAACCGAGTTCTGTCCCTCTCGATGGTCGAATGCAACCATAGATTCGACAGCCCAGTGAGCGTTTCAGATTTAGATCTGAAGCCGAGTAACCGGCGAACTTCACAACCATGGCGTTTTCAAAAGGGGATGCCGCCATAGGCGGGATGGCAGCAAGTGTTTGGGTCACCACAAATATTTTGGAGAGATGCGGTCGTCTATTCGCTGCACGAAGAGATCGCTGGAAATGGCTGTGCCTGTCACATGCCACAAGGAGTGCTTCAAATGATGTTCAATTGCTTTGAAAGATGCTGCTGCAAGAGATTTTGGATGCCATCATTGCAGATCGTGACAGCACCACTATGCCACTTAGGATCTCCGATGGAGCATCCACACCCTCCATCGGTCGTGTTTGGTGGGACAGATGCCCTTTAGTGGGTAGGTGTTCCTTGCCCCAAACATGCCATTAAATGGAGATCGGCAATGAGTGGAGAGTGTGTAATTCACGCAGCAGTTCCAGGCCTAGTCTTCAGACACCAGGAGACCTGTTGGCAACAGCAGGTCCCAGATACGTCCTTGCATCGCCGTGGATTGTGGCAGGGATTTCCGCGAATCCACGAGGGCGAGATGGGCAGCCATGCGCCATCTCTGGCGGTTGTCCATCTCGATGGGTGCCGATCGTTGTGCTAGAGCCTGAGCGAGGCTGGCTGCTCTACCCTTCCAGTGCCCTGAAGTCCAGAAAGAGGGGCTGCACTTGTGTGTTTGGCCATCCTGGCCCCGGGAACCTACTTTTGGCGGGCGGGGAATGCCCTGGGAGGGACCAATTCTAGATTGGAGTAGTGCAGGTTCAATGCATTGCCAAATGCAGTGTACTCAATCGTTCCCTGTGATTTTTTGCAGCAACTACTACATGTACAATAGGTGCTGGGGTTGCATTGTCGGGGAAAACAAACGAGTACTTGCTACAAATTCAGCCTCCCAACAAATTCTTTCATTCAATTTGAGACAGAGGAAGTACATTTTTTTAGTCCCAGACAAGGAATATCCTACTGTGTGAAGTAAATGGCAAATACAGAGGCATATGATGTTCCTTTCTTACTTCAACATTGCCGTTACCAATGGTATGTATTGGCTTAGCACTAAGAGCATTTGGTGCCTACACAAAATCTGCTCTGATGGCATTGCATGATGGGATGTAGAGCCTAAAGAAATGGAAGGAAAGTGTGCTGGCCACAAAAGCTACCCAGAATCGCCAGTATCACATAGCTTCTGGTCGCCTACCAGCACAAAAACACATTCCCATGCCATTGCTCATAAAATATTTCAGTTGTGTAAATGGCTGAAGCATGCATCACATCGTTCAGATTCTACACTACCATGCACGCGGCTGATTTTCCTGCATCCCAAATTAAATTGCAATTTTGAACCACGGCCCTTGGAAACCTTCAAGTCATCTAAAATAACCACCAAATTTTCCATGATGTTGTAATTTGAGTCTAGTTTATGCACCCAGATTTTCGGTCACTTGGCATAGTATTCAGTCCAAAACGTCATCTTGAACATACACCAATCTGCCAGAGTTCCCCAAGATATTTTTAAGGGTGACGCCAGAATTGCCAGTTTACCCGTTTTGAGGGATGCTGACTTCCAGAAGTCGCTCTGGTGGCAGCTAAAGGTGGTTCTCATAGGTTTGGCCTGTAGTCTTTCTTTTGCTGACATTGGTTTGTACATTGCAACAAGATTTCACCCCAACGTTCTGTTTTTCATAAGTGCAACTTAACCTGGGACAGAGGAAGGATGATGCTTTGTTTTATCTGCGAACTCCCCATGGTCAATTGCTTGCAGAATTGTTTGCTTCATGATGTGATGGAATTGGTATCAAAGTCTTTAGCACAGCTATTCTGCACCAATGACCAAGTCAATTGCCTACACAATTATCTCGCCACAGATGTGACATTTGGCTACTTTCTGCATGACCAGGTGTTGAAAACTTGCCAGCGCATAGTGCATCACAAGTTTACTGGCAAGCCTGAGGAAGGGAACGACATCGCCCTTCTGGTGCTGAATGGAACCAAGTGGCAGCACGCACCCATCGAAGGCATGCTTCCTGTTGACCACTGTGTGCCCAACAAGACTATGAGCTCCCTGGGGTGGTTTGCCACCAGCCGCCATGGGTCGCCCTCCTACAACCTGGTAGCGATACCCAAATTGAAACATGTGGAGAAAGGAGAGTGTGTCAAGGCGCTGAAGGACAAGGGGGTTCCAAATGGAACTGTGTGTGCTGTGCCAGAGTTCAGGGCAGTTGCCGAGTGTAAGTAAGGGCAGCGAGCATTACAACGTATCTTATTTTTTAGATTTGTTGTGTTAGTGTTGGTGTTGTGGTGTTGTTGTTTATGTTACTTGTCACATGTTGTATGCTGTTTCTAGGAATGTTCTGGAATGAAAACTGAGCACAGCCAAGGGCAAGGGGGCCGAGCAATGGGAGAGAATGTCGGATAAGAACAGGAATTTTTCATAAAGGAGTGATCACGGAAAAATTGTGGTTAGCATGCTGCACAACACCCACAAAGAATGTGTTGTTTTCACCCACATTGCACAATGGGCTACTACTGCGGGAGCCTCCAGCACTCGTATTTGACATAAAGATGATATGCGTGAAATGTAAATGAGCAGAATATAAGCAGAGTTGCAAACAAATTGCACAGCTTCTGCAATATCAATCACATCATCTATCGGCGATGGGCAATATCGATGGTGATATGCCCCAGATGCCCTGGTCTCCGACGTTGGACACCCCTGCCTTATGAAAATCAGCGGACATCGGTGTGGTTAGGAATCTTGAGGAAAACCATGGATGAAACGTCAGCGCACACACTGGGAGATGCCGGGAAATTTGGTTCTGCCATACTGCGGCCCTTGAAAAATACACGGCACAGATCCAGTTCCTCAACAAGACATGCAGCAAGAATATTGTCCAGTCTTTCCTTTACGCTCTTCAAGGGGTCTTGCATGTACTGGATGTGACACGCGGTGCTATTCGTTTACACGACTGTTCCTCCTCATAGTGTGTTGTGTCCTTTCAGGGGATCTAGGGTCGCCTCTTCTGTGCCAAGACGAACACCTGATCGGACTGGTGTCCTACGCTCAGCCGCAACCCAACGTGCACGTGCCATACGTATACACCCACGTCAGCGAGTACGAAAACTGGATAAACACATTGGGGAAGGACGCCAGTACGGTTCGTGACAACCCAGACAGCGAATACTGTCGGAAAGATCCCGAAGTGCCGACAGCTGGAGACTCTGCTACAACCAGAGAGGAGCTGTAACTGCCTAGATAGCAACTAGAATCCAGTAGGTTGTTTGGCGTGGTGCGAGGGCGGGACCTGTGGACCGGCAGTTGGGAACGAAGCATGCAGCCGGGTGTGGATATAGGAGAAGGGGATCGGGTGATCTTTCAAGCGCTCTCTGGCAGCGGCAGCACGTTGGGGCTTTGCGCTGACAGAAGTGCTGTGACAGCTGCAGTTGCCGGCCGTTGCAAATCGTTGTTGTATTTGTCTGCTGCCCGATTTCATCTTCTTTGATGCCGCGATTTGTGGGCAGGTGCCCTGGAAAGTGCTGTTGGCCTGGCCAAGTGGGGGTACCTGTTAGCGCCGGATGGGAAGCTGCGCCCTATAAGATTGCACACATGTATGTTAATGCTCTCGTTGAGGGATTATAAGGTGGTCGTTAGCGTGCGTTGTGAATGAAGAACGGGAAATTGTAAATCAGCAGAAAGAAAGACAAGCCGTGCAGCGTGGCGGCGGAGGTGGAAATCATGGCGACATTTAACTGTTGTCGTCGCCATCACCGTTGCAATCGCATTGTTTTCAGCATTTTCGCCATGAAACTGCTATCTGTAATTGCTTTTCGAGCATGACATACTGTGGGTTGTACATGCCAACACCTGTGCAGACATATTGCGGGTTCATGCAGTGGAGGCTGTGGCCTGCGGAATGAGAAATTACGGCTCCGTTGCTGGTTTTGGCACCAGTCATGTTCAGATGCCCAAGAAAGGCACTGCTTTAATTTCGGTACACTTTTTTATCAACGGCAAATGAGCTCAAGCCCTCCGCGCCTCTTAACTACAATGTTTATTTTGATGCCCTGGCAGTACTGGAGGTCAGCACGTATTTCTGACCAATGTGTGGGCACAAGGTCAACACGTACTTCTCACCCACTTGCTGCACAGCACTGTGAAAACATTGGCGCCGGTTGACTGGGCCGTCGCAGTGGGTCTTTACCAGCGCACCCAAGTAGGGCGCGAAAGTGCCCCCGAGCCTTGCGTGGCGTCGCCCCACGCCCTCCCTGCCCATCCGGTGCAGCAAGCCTTCCTACCCCCATTACAATTGCCTTCGCCAGAGCACCCCGAATGGAAACCCCACTGAGCAATGCGGCTGCCAGCTCAGACCGAATTGACAAAGGAGGCCGGAAATTGCCAGTGTCGGCTGCGCATGATTCACTGGTAGAAAACCGCCTATTTGTGATGCCAGCTGCGATGCTATTTTGACACAAATTGATGCCGTCACAGTGAGTGTGATGGCATAAAAGAGGCTGTGATGGCATCAATTTGTGTCAAAATGGCATCGCAGGTGGCATCGCAAACAGGCGGTTTTCTACTGGTGATTAATGCGTTGTCTCGCAGAAGAGCTTCTCGCGACAATCTACGTCGGGACGCTCCCCTGCCCGCCGCCTTTTCTGCCCGTGGACTCACCTCGTCGTTCTATCTGCCAAATGTCAGTGCGCAACCAGTGATGCCTTTTTGGTTGAGCCTAGCCAGTCACTGTCCGATCTGAGGTTGCTTTGTTGTGACCTGGTGCCTTGGCCCAATCAAGGCGTTCTTCAAAATACCTCAATTCCAAATTAGTAAGTCCCGGTTGGGCAACTATTCGTCGGACACATTAATGAGCGACCGCCTGGAGGGGGTCATTCGCTCGGACGAGGTCTATTGATCTATCAGCACTCGCGGCCGACGGTCTGTGGACATCCCGCCGGGGATTCGACACCCCTGGTCTCGACAGTTCCATTTTGTTCAGCTCGCGATCCTAATCAGTCTGATTATTATATAGTCAGATTAGATCTGAGATCGTAAATGGCATATGCATGGAACAAGCGACAAGGTGTTGGCAGCACAAGAAAGGTGGTCCGCTGGTGAGTTTTGCGTCTTGACAATGCCGTTGTCTATCCTGTTGCCACCTGAGGAAATTCGCGCCAAACTCTCCTGCGCCTGTGGCCTTTTATTATTACATTCTATCCATATTAATGGACAGATCATCTTAGTTGTCTTAAGTAATTACTGAAAGCATGGTTCAAGGCACGGGAGGCGCATTGATTGGCAAGTTGGTAATCACATTGTGTACTGCAACATACCGGCGCATGCCATCACAAAGGAGGTAGCTCATGAGCCTATGTTGATAAGCTTTGCAGACAGCCAGGTGACAATTGGCACCTCGCAGACAGCCGCACCTATAAACATGGGAAATGCAGCCCAAAGGCGGCTGATCGCCTATAATGGACAATAATTGTCTTGTGTCCCAATTGGGGCCAGTCCGATTTTCCTGGCCGGAAATTGTTCGAACCAAGATAGACTCAGGAGTCTTTTTCTCGACAAATAGCCAGAAATAGGTTTCCTTCTGGCGTTTCAAGCCAGTCATTTAAGCAAAATTTGGGGAGAAATAGCGAATGCGGGAAAAAGATAACTGAACATGGCACATTTGACCAGCGATTACAAGGAGCTGCTCATGAAATGCTGTTGCTAATCGCCATGAAGCATCTGTCGCCTTTGGCCGACGTCTCTGGCCTATTTCTTGTACCCTTGCGAGATTGCTTTCAAATAGGCAATGAGATCGCCGGGTTGGTGCCACCAACTTGGCGGCATCAGATTCTGGAAAAAAGCGACCAATACGACGGCCCATCTGCTTGGAAATTTTGCATTACATTTACCAGTGGACCGTCCGGCTATGGAATTGGTTTTGATTTATGTTAGAAATGCAGTCTGATCTGGAAGCTGCTCAATACATGAAACAAGCGGAAGCCGATTGCTCTCCCCTTGACTTTGTCATCTGAAGCATTCCAGTTTGCCAACTTCTACCACAGCGTCTACACATACTAAATTAAATGAATTACATTTGATCCACTTGTGCAATATTGCAGTCAATTACTTGCACGGAATCTCTGGCGCACGTGCAACTTGCGAACTGACTTTTCATTCGCGCATTGTAAATGAATCTAAAAGATTCGGGCAGGGAATTAACTATCGAGCAATTCGCCTCTGCTCCGCAACATCGAGGCAAATGAGGTGCTCCTCAGCCCCTCGCTTGGTATTCAAGTGGTCCTGTCTATTGAACCTGAGAATTTTTTTTCCCAATGACAGGCAGCGATCACGTTCAATCATTTTGTCATCTCATCTTTCGAGGCCGTTCCCACTCCTTTCCCATTACGTGAAAATAGTTCAAAATTTTAGGAACAGTAAACACCAGTCACCTCTCGATTGAAAAAATGCCCGTGTGACGCTTTGCAATGCAGCAGATATTATCCCTTTCCTAGACTTGCTTGGTCGATTGTCGGCATCGTTCGCAATGCCGCCCAATGGGCACTTTGAACCGACTGCCAAGCGCTTTTCGAATGTCAAAGCCGTGAGACCCCCTGCAGCTTCCTTGTAAACGGTGGCCGGGGGGCCGATATCGGCCCATCGGCAGCATCGACGCTGCCATCGCGCTGACGTCAGCGGCATGGAGTGGGTTGGGATCGGCACTTTCTGTGCCGGTGTCATCGCCACTGTTGAGGGCACGGCGCAGGTGACACTGTATTCTTGAAGAGTAAGCGGGCTTACAATGTGTAACATAGTAGGTGGCTATCGACAGGTGTCTCTGACTCCGTGGGGGTGGTTATGCACGTAATCATTGGTGTCCTTACAAATACCCGTAACTATGCGTACGTACGCTTAGTACATTGCCACATTCATATTGCCTGGGCAAGAAACAAGCCTGGTGCAAACCTGGATGTATCCTCTCTGCGCTGTGTCTTCCGTATCTGTGTGCCCCTTTCCAGCGTGAACGTTCTGGGGATGTATGGTATAATATACAGAATATGCCAGGTGTATTCGATATGATGGTGTATGCTTGAGCTTCAAGCCTTGAAGCGCATGGCGTATAACATCGTTTTGCTGTAGTTCTTCTCCTACTTTAAGCAGCAAGGCATTGGCTGGCCAGCGGCGGTCCATGGACCGCGATCTGGAGCACGCACTTGTTTCTCTGAACTGCCACGAAGAGGAGTGCGGCAACATGAATCGCTGCAGAAAGGTCGACATTCGCCCTGTTTTAGGAGAAGCGGTGTGAGGCTCAGCACTTAACATTAACATACCATGTTGCATTCCTGGGGCCACTAAGTGCCGCACTTGGTGGCCAACTTACTGCAGGGAGACTGCTATCTTTTGAAGCGATGAAAACGCCTGAGACCAGCTCAGCGCTCAAGGCTGGCAGGATGTGGATTTCAAGGCAACACCAGAGGCGCATGGCCAGGTGTAGTCGTCAGCGCCCCTTTTTGCTGCCATGAATTCTTCCATTTTGCGTTTGATGAGTATGCGGGCAATTGCTCAAATGTTTATCGAATATGAAGTAGAGAATTCGCGGGAAGAATGGCCAGATTACCTGCAGGTTTGTGCATGGGAACTGGACTGCAAGCACAGGGAGTTCCAGTGGCGATGGGGAACTGTGTGATGAAGAAATCACGAGTTGGGCGAAGGCGACTAGGCGGCGATACGGAAAGCGTAGACTTCGAGTGGACGAGAGGAGACTCATACATCGTGTATCTATCAATCGCCCCACCCTATCAATCGCCCTGCATATTCCTTCGCCCACATCTTCTCTCTAAATGATGCGCTTATGACATTTGCGATATTACTGAGAGAGGAGACGTGCGCGAAGGAGTCCATGGGGCGGTTGCTGGAGCCGAAAGGATTGGGTGAGTCGACTGACTCGCTTGGGAAGTCAATGCCCCGTTGATCCGCCTGCCCATCTCAGTGGCCAACGCCCATGGCACATTGCCGCAGCGCACTTCATGTCAATTCTGACAGAACTTTCGCCAGTTTTTGTAACCGACTCTCCCTCAACCTCCGAAGTTGCCGGCATAAAATTACTGGCTGCACCAAATCGGTGACTGCTTGCACCAAGTCACGTGCACATCATGTCCAACTCCGTCAAAACTAACCTAACCTAAAACCTAAAACCTAAAACCTAAACCTGTCCTAACCCTAACCCTAACCCTACAACTCACCCTGAAACTAAACCTAACCCTAAAATTGAGGTTAGGACAAAGCGTGACTTGGTGCAAGCAGTCACCGATTTGGTGCAGGCAGTAATATAATTTCGAAGTTGCCTGAACCTCAGATTGAATCTGTCAATGGCTGACAGAGCTTCCGCCCAAAACCCCCCCATGGAACTGCAGTCGGGCAAAGTCACGTCAAAGCAGAAAAAAGTGCTAGGACGCCCGCAACCCCCACCCCACGTAATGTTGAGGCAGCCCTTCCCGCGAGGCGCGGCGCGAGGGAAGGGGCGCGGGTGAGGCGAGCCACCGGGACTGGGGCGCTCCAGGTAACCGCCACCCCACGCCTTCCAGCTTTGCAAATTTTTTTCTCCCCCCGATCCAATCACCCCGGGCCCCTGCGCTGCCCATCTCCGCATCTGGCCATCCCGCGATGAATGACCGCGGCCCGGGCGTGCCCCCGATCCCAATGCAGGGATCCGCGAGATGGCGACGTCCCCGACAAAATGCGCCGTCCCTTTTTCCTTTCCAATCGAGGCGAACGCGCCCACGGCGGCGATCCTGCACCCTGTGACCACGACCGCCCTGGGTGGCATCCGGCCCATCCCTCCGCCAAGAGATCTCCTCCCCGCCGTCACATCATCTCAATCCCACACACCGCAGCCCACCGGCGGCGAACGCCGGCACTCCGACTAGCCGATCGCGCCGACATTTTTTGTCCATCTTCTTTTGTCGGTTGTCTGCTTCGATGTTTTTGTCTTTTTCGCGGCCGCGGCTTGCGGCTCTACGGCATGCCGCCATCCCTTTGGGCCGCGGCGCTGTCGCTGACCCACCTGCCTGGCTGCACCAGGTTCAGTCGTCGCGGGGCGTTGACTTCTCGGGTGGCTCTAGCAGCGAGAGGATGTGGAGGGGGCGGACGGGGCTTTGGGGGTGGGGGCTGTACTGCGTGGCGGTCGCCTGGTGAGGCTTAGCGGGGGTGCCCACTTGCGGGAGCAGTACATTGGCGCATGTGGGTGAATGTGAATGCATCCTTAAATGATGGAACGAAACCTGGTACAAGGTTCGCCCTTTCCCACCATGTACGAAAAAACGAGGTAATGTCACAGGCGGCCTCGTGTCCGGGCACACATGCAGAATGGCCCTCATGGTAGGCCGCTGGCCCAACCAATCATCTCAGGCGTGAGTATTGGTGTTGGGGCGCACTGCCATATGGCTGTCGTCGTTGTGGCACATTGCTTGTAGTGGTGAGGCCCGGCGGGGCGTTCTGTTTGCGGGACCGGTACATTGCCGCTTCACTGTGCGGTGTGTGGCACATAGGTGTCTGTCAGCCATTTTCGTGGTGCATTGCTTGCGTGCATGTGTTTTGTACATCAGAGATTCAGTGTTCTCGTGTAAAATACTGGTGATCGACTGTTGGCCGACGACCAGCTGCCCAGTGTTTCCTGACCTCATGTGCATTATGAGTTGGACAATTTGCAACTACACAATATATGAGATATGAATGGGCTTGTGGTATCATTCACAGCAGCATAATATAGGAATATTAAGATGTTATTGAAGTTATCAATATGATATGTATATTAGCTGTTGTACTTATTTTGAACGCCCGCATGACTGTGTGTTCAGCCGACATATCTGGAACCTTGAAGCGCTCACTGGTGTGCAAGTAGACAGTGTCAGCAATGTATGGGCCAGCGTTTTCGGAGGCGTGCAGAAATCTGTTGATGGCTTTGCGATCTGATCTTCAGGATCGTCATCATCGCTGGCTGTGTGAGTGAGGCTCTGGACACCAGGGAAGGAAGGCAAACATTGGCTGAAGGTGGTGTACGAATCCTCTGTTCGGATTGGCAGAGGCCCTTTCTAACTGCAGCGCCCTTTTCAAGAGGAAAGCACTTCCTTGTCGCCTCAGTTTCGATGTCTGGTTTGCATCCTTCAACCATACACCCCAAAGCATCCATCAGGAGATGAAGTGCAGTGGTTGCAGGCTGAATTTTTGTCTCAATGTTCTTTTATTGTCGTCAAGAGATGCATCTTTACTTCAGATGTGTGCAGAATGGCTGCCAGTTGATCATTACACCATGTGTGGAGACGATCACACACATCCACACATTCTCAAGTGGACAGTGCTGGCCCCATTTGGTGGACTCGACTCCAAGTTGTAAATGATGTGTTTGGGATATGTCAGCACAGAAGAGAGACATTGTGGCGTTTGGATGCTGAACCTTGTTAAAATGTGCTTGAAAAGAGCATCACAATACACCCCGGAGTGGGTTGTTTGCTTCTTCCTTGCTGCATGACGTGTTGCTGTGTATTGGTTGCTCTGATGTCTTTGTGCCTGAACTTATGCAGGGCGCTTTGCACCACGGAAACTGCTCCAGACAGATGCTGATTGGGTAAGATCAGGGGTCCGAAATGGCACAGGATGTTCGACCACAGCCTGCACATGTCCTCAGTGTTGCTTCTCCCAATTGTGCACTTTTCACTGTCTTCCATGTCAAAATGCTCACTACCGCTTATGGGCCCTCAGTGCACACAGTGAGTTTCAGTCATTTTGTCCCTAGATGGGCATTGGAGAGCAATTGTTTTCGTTAAGTGGCCAACTTGAACCCCACACACTTAGTGCTTGGATCGTGACAATACACTTTTCGTGACATTCAACACTCATCCCAGCCAGCCATTCAACAAGATAAAAGCCCATCCATCAATGGCCAACATCTGTTGATCAGATATCCTCCTTTGCACATATGCTTGCAGCTGGCTCACCATTATGCTGGAGAGTGGGACAGTCCTCTGCTCCTTGCAACACAAAGGCATCCAGATATGCTGCAAAGACTTCATGCTGAAGTCTTTCGCTGAAACCGTGGCCTTTTGGTACACCACAAAAAGTAAGGACTGGAAGGGCAGCGGTTTTTGCTAGAGAACTGCAGGTTTGTTGTAGTGTCCCTGGCAAGTGCAATGTTTTGATAGCTGCTGTTGCTCGCTGGTGCGCAGTCAGTGCTGTTGAGTTGTAGAAGGTGCTCAGGACTCAGAACATGCTCCACAACACAGGGCTCAATTTGCTGCCACACCCCACAATCGGCACCCCAGCTATTGTGAAAGAGTAAAACTTATGCTTGAAGGTCATAAGAGTTGGGGTGACTTGCTGCTGTTGCTCACTGGAGAGAAACGTAGTTCAGATTGCTCAGCCCTGCAGCAGCATCATGGCTTGAAGCAAACGTGCCATGTGGATAAAATGGAGAACCTACTGGGCACACCGTCGTCTGCATTTCTCTTTCACATCACCTTTCTGTATCATCTTTCAAGGAGTTGTGGATCTTGTCATCATGATGGGGGGGCACACCGCGTGAGAAACTTCACACCAGCAGGGAGCTTGAAATGGCTATGGACCAACCCACTGACCGAACTGCTCGCTGGGGCCCACAACCCAAGCACAAACACAACCAAGCAAACCATTAATACTGCAGAAGTACAGTAGTACAAAACAAACTCCTTGCCAAGCATGCAATTTCTGAATTGTTTCCAAGCAAACGTCCGGGCGAACTTGCAATTGGTAAATTGTTTCAAACAAACTCCTGGGCCAGCATGCAATTTATTGTTCAAAACAAGCTCCTGGGCGCACATGCGATCGCCAGATTTTCCGAAGAAGTTGGCCACCGACACGCCCGCCCGCGTTCGCTGCATGCCGCAGGACATGTGGGCGGCCGCCCTGCTGAACGACACCGACGATTTCTTCGCCGCCCTGGAGGACGGCGCGGACGTCAACGTCTCCCTGGGCTTCGAGGGTGCCTGCCCCTGCACCGCCCTCATCCTCTCTTCCGACGCCGGCAACCTCCAAATCGTCCAAGCCCTCATCTCCGCCGACGCCGACCTCGATGCCGCAACGGCCAAAGGAGCCGCGACGGCGATCTTCGCCGCGTCCCAGAAGGGCCGATCGGCGATCGTGGACGTTCTGATCGCTGCTGGGGCCGATGTTGAGAAGGCGCGATCCACGGGCGCCACGCCGCTGATGGTGGCGGCCGAGAACGCGCACGCGGGCGTGGTGGGCGCGTTGCTGCGTGGAGGGGCGGATGCCGGCGCGGCGGACGGCGTGGGGCAGACGGCGCTGCATCTGGCGTCGATGAAGATCGGGGAGGCCAGCAGGGAGATCGCGGAGGCGCTGATCGACGCGGGTGAGGGGTGCCCTGGAGCACGGGCGACGACTTTTTAAGGCGACGTCTTGGCGTTTGCGTGTGCGCAAGTGCACTTGTGCCCCGGTGTCTTGTGGTGTTGAGAATGAATTACTCTGTCTTTTCCGTGAGGATGCTTCCTTCTTCCGCTGACAAGGCCAACGTGGGTCAGTGGTTTAGGGGTTTGGGTGTCCGAAACAAGAAGGGATCATCACGGAAAAGACAGAGCGACTACTATACCGTGAAATTCCACGAAAAAGTTCGCGGGGGCAAAATATTCGCGCGGAAAAAAGTTCGCGCAGTTGCTCGAGAGCGAAATGCGCGAACTTTTTCCCGCGCGAACTTTTTTACTTATACAGTAATTTCATGCCTGGCGTCCTGGGGTATGAGAGGATGAGCGCGTGCTCAGAGACAGAATGCTCGCCAATGTACTTGTCTAAAAACAATTGCCTTTGAAAGACAAGACGGTGGTCTTGCGCCTAGTAGGCGATGAGGACGCACGTGCGCGCAAGTGTATGCGTACATACTCTGTGCTGGCGTGCTGTCTTTTTGGCCAAAACTGTGTCTGCCTGTGGTTTGCGCTTGGTTTGGGGGTGCAGTGGCTGCTGTGGAGACCACAGTGTTAACATACGACTGCGTATGAGTGAGTACGAAATCGCCAATGATGCTCTCAGTCAGTTCGACTATTCTACTACAAAAACATGGCAGTACTTAGGTGCCATGATCCACCCTGGAAAGCTGTGTCTCAGCAGCAACTATGGCCTTACGCCAGCATCAGGCGGGCGGTACCATTTTATGGTGTTTGAATTTGTCAGCTTAATTCTTAAGGCTGGGTTGGATTGATTTCCCCCTTTGTATTTTTGAGGTATTTTCCAAATATTAGTTTCTTTTCTTTTTCAGCATTGAGCACAGCGAAGCAAGGCAGGATGAGCTTTTGAGACTTGCTCCCAGAAATCACCGGATAGCTAGAGCTAGATCTTGTGATTGTGACGTGGTGCTTCATGTGGAACTAATTGAAAAGTCGCCACAGTAAACTGCACGGCACAAGAGACGCTACGTATGGCATTCACAATTTTCAAACGCACAGTTTTATAGCTTTAAGCATGCACAGTAGGATTCCAAGCGCCGATTTCATTGCATCACTGCCAACTTGTGCGTTCAACTGGAATATGCTCTTCCGGTCGTCGCCTTCAAGGCGCAAGGCTTGGTGTGTCACATTTTGGCCACTGCATTGAGAACGACAAACGTACTTCCTCGCGAAATAGCAACCAAAGCGCCTCGAACTGCACGACTTTGAAACACTATTGATGAACGCATGATTACACTTAATTGAACGACGCTATGCAGTAGATTCAGGACAGGACGAACGTAACAATATTACGTAATCAACATTGCGTAAGTGAAAAGACTCTATACTTTGTAAGCATGTTTTCGGAACCAATGGAAATAGTGTGAAATTTACCAGTTTTAGCCACTGATTTGCACACTTTTCATTGTCTTGCCAAGGGGCCAACATCGAGGCGCGGGACGCCGACATGTGGACGCCCCTCATCTGGGCAGCCCACTTCGGCAACGTGGGCACTTTTAGCGTCCTCCTGGAGAGGGGCGCTGACCCCGCGGTCAAGGATGCCAGCGGAGGCGGCCTGGAAGACCACATCTGCCAGTGCCCCTTGGTGCCCGAGACTGCAACAGGCCTGGTGTGCCCCGAGGGGGGGTGCGACAGTGGGGCGGCCGACGCCATAGCGGAGATGCTGAGGAGTTGATGTTCGAGTGGCGGAATGACGCACAGTGGATCCAGATGGGCTGGGTGGCCAACGGGTGACCGACGAGCGGATGCTGCTGGAAGTTGTGACTGCATTGGAGTTGGGTGGGGGTGGAGGTGGGGGTTGGGGGTGTACATCTACAATCTACAAGCAAGGAACAAGCAGCACTGCGAAAATGTGGGAAAGCCAGTATTTTCCTATATAGAAAGAATGTGTCACCTCATGTATGGGGTGAGAGGGATGTGAGGTCCTTCGATGAGGGGGGCCGGCGGCTGAAAGCAGCGAGAATCAGTCAACTGTGGCAGCGGCTGGGAGGTGTGAGGGTTTGTGGCTTGTGAGGACCTGAAGTTTCTGGGAAGCGGCTACCTCTGCCTGCTATGGATGTTCGAGTACGGCAGCGATTGCGTTTGTTGGCGGAAGTCAACGCAACGTCTTGGCGACTGGCGGGGCGTGTTGGGGCTGTTTCTCTGCACGAGTTGCAGTGCTTGTGCATTGCATATGGGGAGAGGGCAGGCACTTGCTACGCTTCGCACCAGGCTACTGCAACCATTGTTGAAATGAGCCTTAGCTTCTGGTTGATGTGCGAATGAATGACGTTCGAGTGTGCATTTGTTGACAGCCCGGCAGGGCTTGTACGTTAGGGATCAAGTTGTTCATCATGCTGTCAAGACAACAAGTTTTGTAAGGCGGTGCGTTGTGGCAACGGATGCACGATATTCGGGATGCAGGCTTTGGCACAGGATTTTCACCTGGTTAGAGCGGTGAGCCTTGGTGTAAACCGCCTTCACCAGGTGCAAAGTAATTTCGACGCCATGCCGGCGAACTTGTAGGATGATTTGAAGCAACCACTATTGTGTCAACAAATCCTTGAACTTCAGCTTCTTTTGCAGCACATCAACATAACGTACTGTATTCTACCCTTCTGCATCAAACAGTTTGCCATTACGCTTGTTGTTCTGTGTTGCTTTCGGAGTGTTATTCTTGTTGACGTTGCTCCGCCAAGTTTTATTGAAAGAACGTTGTCGATTTTATAGTTTTCTCCGCATGAAAAGGCCAAGGTGACGTTACTATGCGAAAGGTTTAAATATAAGTACAGCACAGATTCTATACCTTGGAGCACAATGCCGCTTTGGCTGACGCGACGTCTTCATTTAATCGTCGGCGCAGCGGTCCAGGATGCAGACACAGATCACGCTGCCGAAGGTGCACGTGGGAAGTGAACGCCCGAGTCGATGTCGCCGGCGCCAAACAGGTTGCCGCAGGTAACTCGATTTCACCTGCAAAATTGCTCGCAGTGTCAACAACACAAAATGCCACGTCCTCCACCCCCACCCCACCCTCTCCTGCACCTGTGGAGATCAAACAGGCTCAATACGCATGACCTTGGATGTGACGCTGGGCCAACACTGTCGCGCTTAACGTCAGATTGATGCCAACCGCCCGCCCCCCCCCCCTCCCCCGCCCTCCTACAACACGCCACCCCACACTGCCCCACCCCCGTTTTTTGCGCTTTGTTGCGCTTGAGTTGAGCGTTCCTCTCCTTCAGGAACAGGAGGGATGGTTGCCCCGGGTACCCTAAACCATGTTTTAAAGCATGAAACGGAGTCTGAGAACACTTGCTCAGGAGTGAATCCCCTTTGCACGATCTGTTTGTAAATCCCTTTTAGCAAATCTTAACCCCATCCCAAGCACGCGCATCGTCCTCTTAGTGTCATTTTTGTATCGGCGGCAAAAGCCCATGAGTACTTCAAGGTGCGGCGGGAAACTTCAGCATGGAAGAGGGAGCGTCGACGCCCCGATTGCAGAACATAAACTACGGCAGATTGGAGTTGGAGGAGCGCGGCGCCGCACGACTCCATTGCCCGAGAACCGGAAGTGATGCGTGGTACGCACCATCGTTGGCTACCAGCCACCAACAGCGCTGCAGTTCTGTGGGGCAGTTGTCGTTATAAAGGTGTGTCACTTCCTGAACCCTTGACACGCGAGCAAGCGGAGTTCGGGCACAGGCCATGCTGCCAGCGGGAAAACGTGAGGCGGAGTGGCACACACTAGCAGAGAAAGGGCCAAACAACACTTTTTGCCAACCCATACATGTACACTTGATCAGGGTTCTGCACGCCAAAAACACGAAAATGTCCCAAACCCTTAAACTTTATACATGTTCAAACACGTGTTATTTGGCCCTTTCTTTCCTAATGACAGCGATACAGGTCAATCAAAGCAGCGGATGCGATTAGACGTCCCTGGTCCTACTACAAGCATTATAAGGGGGTCAAAAGACGGCATAGGCGAGGATAACAGACCTGAACTTTGGATTCCAACCAGTGTTTCTCGCCTATGCGAATTGGGAGCCACAGGCCCACTGGGTGCCAGGGCAAGGCATGGCTGTTGTGGACAACTGTCGTTGACACTAGGGGAGCGCGGAGCATTTCGAACAAGTCGTGGGGAAGGTGCAGAAGTTGTGAAGGCATGCAAACAGCCAGCGCCAGAGCGATTGTGAAATTGTAGAAGGGGTGCTTGAACCGATGGCAATTGATGTGTAGGACGCCGTCAAGGAAGACAGTTTGCTGGCCTTCATGAAGGCCGAACACTCGAGGCAGGATTTCGAGCAAGTTGGAGGCGTTTGAGCCTCCTCGCGACTTTTTCGATTTTGCATCAATTACGCAATTTCCAAAACGTAAGCTTTCTCTTGCGGACGATGAAGGGCGCACAAATTTCCAAGCAATGGTTGGCCGATATTCCAAGATTCTTGCACCGCACAGCTCCCAGCTGCGCGCCGTGCAACAAGCAGCGAGAAAAGCCAAGAAGGCGCACAGCAAACCAGGGTACCAAATGTAAGCAAGGCAAGGAAACGTCAAATGTGGCAAAATTGACGTAGTGTCATCCCTTAATGCGGCCAGCGTTGTCCATCAAGAGCCAGGGAGGTGGAATTTTATTGCTGGCACGTGAAAGGGGCCCTTCGCCTGAGCCCCAAGGCAACAAACCAGCCCGCCTGTCACCCGTTCCCTCCCAGAAGCATCGTCTACAGCGGTCCCATACCGCGACACCGCGACACCACAAACTTCTTAAGTCTTTGCAAGGCGCAGGTTTGACAGCACAGCCTGCAGCCATACATCACCAGAAAGAATCCCCCCGCCCCCATTCCCCAACCTCCAATCACCCGCCTCCCAGTCCAAATACAAATAATCTACATCCCGCGATTGCAAAACGTGCCCTCTTGGCTGCTGGCATCCAGCGATCTGACATCAACCACCAAAACAAAAGCCCCACATTGCTCATGTCCCCCTCCCCCCCACCCCACCCCACCCCAAGCTCCAGCGTCAGGACACTGAGACAATGCTCTCCGAGCTTCACCCGCAGTTACTCTGACGACGGCTTGCTCCCGCTTTTTCCCTGCCACCCGCGCCCGTAGTACATCGACGCCAGGGTGCCCGGGTCCATGCCCAGCGCCCACGCCAGCAGTATGAGCTGGTTGGCCACGAACGCGAGCCCCACGCCCGTCTTGACCCACCTGAGGGGAAGTATGCTCGTCAGCGCTAAAGGAATTGCAGTTGTTGGTTCATGAGATCTTTTGTATCAATCGGAACTGCAATCACGTGGGCGTGGGCACAGCTCTTGTAAAGGCGGGCGATGTCAACAAACGGACGGCCCAGCGCCGACATCTTGTTGTCCTGCGCACACAATTTCTATCCGCATGTACATTACATTACAAACGCCAGTGCTGTCATATATACATGCTCATTAACATTGTAGTATTGTGAGAATGTGCAAAGATTTGATGTGCCTGTGTATATTACAACATTGGCAATTAATTCTGTTAGTTCAGCACTGTTAACAAGAGACTCTAATTGACAGTGCTGAGCTGCCAAGATTGTGCATTTGCGGTCCTTGACGCGCAAGCACAGAACCAAGCTCTGCAACCTCGGCCTTGTTTCTTGGGCCATTCTTCGCACTTGAATCTGCAGGTGTGACCCACCTGCGCCCAGAAGTCTGCAGGCAGCGCTGCACGATGGCCGGCCGGCCACGCCGCTTGAGCCTCAGCACCAGATCCACGTCCTCCAGCAGGGGCTGGTTCGCGAAGCCACCCATCTGGCGCAGTCTCGAGGACTCCACGAAAATGGCCTGATCGCCGTAGGGCAGCCAGAACAGCCGCGTGCGCCACCACACGCACCACTCTATTGCCCGCATCGCCATGCCCGCCACCTGAAGTATCGGACAAGGGTATGCCCTTGTCATTTTTGCTTTGCAAAGGCGAGAACGACAGGAAGTGCAACAGGAATTCGTGTTGCAGGCAGCGTGTTCGAGTCAATTCGCCCTCCCCTTTTACGCAGTGCAGAAAATATTGGCGCGCACGCACTGGCGTTGTGCCGGTGGCACAGTGCAAGAAGTCGTTCACTTAGTGGTATTAGCAGGTCACTGGAAGCTCGACAGAAACAGTTGGAGACATAATTCGCCCGCCACGCACACGTAATCCGAATCGATCGGTTTACATATTTGCACAAATCCGCTGCATCGCATATGTAGCCTGCAAAAGCGGTGGTTCAGCCTAAAGGGGTTTACCAGCCCCAACTGCACTCTACCGCATTCTGCTTCAATGCACAAGACAGGCACAAAAGGATGGCGCCTGTGCGGGCCACGAATTCCTGCACCCATGTTTGCAACTCCAAACGCCCGTGCTCCCATTTCCTTTTGCCGTTTATTCTTTATTAGAGGATACGAACAGCACAGCCACTCAGAAAGCACAACCAACAGACAGCAAAAGCAGGCAAACAGCAATTTAGCTGCAAAAGCAACTCACAACAGAGTCGAACCGGGAGCGGCGGGGCTTGCTTCCCAAAGAAACACGACAGAACAGCAGCAGTGTAATTTTGTGTGCGAATGCCCATGTTGCCCGACACAGGGCTTGCTTTGCCATGATTTGGCAAATACAATTGCAACGGATTTTTAAAAAAATGCCCATGTTGATGACCAAAAGAACCTTGCGACTCGTCCCAGCCGGG